ATCATCCATATAAATATTTGGACTTAAGTCTTGTATTGCTTTTTCGACATGAAACCTCAGGCAAGCCTTCGTCGAAATCTGAAGGAAATTAACCTTCATCTGAAACCCATTGTTCATACGAAAAAAATTGAACTAGGGGCGCTTGATGATTTTAACAATTTTATGTCTCGTTACGGATCAATTTTTTCTGTTCTTGGTGCCCTTCTTGACGAAAAGTTGCCAACGCTTACGTCTCAGCAGAGTGAGAAGCTCATGCCTCTCATTAACCTGGTTTCTACTGAGACTGAAGACAGGCACAAACGAAGATTCAATTTTATATTAAAAAACGTTGCTAAGAGTAGACAGCCAATCGATGTCGCTTTTCACTTCCTTTATTCATGCGGCTTCAACTTAAGGGTCGCTGATGCTAAAAGGCTCTCATCTATGAGCAAGAATCCACCAATTCTTGTCAAACTCTTTTCATCGATAGAAACGGATTTCATTTTCTCCCATTTGGAGCGCTCGACTTAATATCTCAGAGGAAATAAAATTTTTATTAGTCGAGATCAAACTCCACTGCAACGAAGAGTTTCTCCCCCATTAACAAATGTAAAGCCACCCCCGAATTCTACTCATATGCCTTTTACCTCTAAAGCAGTTTCTCCAGCGGGTGTCGACGAAATCTCCCCACTATCTACAGCGTCCCCATTTCCATCTAGCTCTTCGACTGATAACATTATCACAGAGACAGTTGAAACTAACCTCTTTAAAACTCCCCTACGAAGCAAGGATTGTCCAAATGCGGCTCCCAAATTTACTAGGGAGCTTGATCTTAACAGTAAAGATGAGGCAGTCCTTGAATCACAACCGACTCCCAGCACTCAGAATAATGATTTAGTTAATAAACTTACATCGAATCCACCCCGTTCCCACGCCTGGCCAGTCAGGTCTGACCTCGTGGCTAGGTCCAATAAGCTAGATAATAGTTCAGGGCCATCTTTACCTGTTCCTATCCTGAATTCTCAACTTAACGCCCCAGTTGTGAAGCCCTCTTACACACCAGACTGCAAAATGCAAGTCTATAGCATTGTTGATAACTTTTCCAATCCCATTGCTAGTCTGACGCCCCAAATAATAAAGCCCTTTCCTAATGCTAACTGTTTCCCGAAACCATTACGTCCACTACCTAACATAAACTACCCCTCATATTATGCTAACAATTCCCAAAATCCTATTTTCATGCCTCCTATTTTTCCAACCCAACAAAATAGCTTTCCTCTTCCTGGGTCCTCCTCAAATGTTTTTCAACATAATGCTGCATCTCTAGTTAGTAGTTACCCCACAAATTTTAGACCGCAGCAACTTTGTCCTTCACCAATTGCTTCCTCCCATCAGCTTAACTTTCCACCTTCGGCTCTCCCTTTTTTATAAGTAGCAATGTGCGGAACCTACATATTAGGAATACGCTCAGTATTGTCTCCCTCAAGGCAAGATCAGTCGTGCAAAAGATGGCACACCTAAGAAGTGTAACTGTTGAGTTTGGCACAGACGTATTGTGCATTAGAGAATCCTGGGCTCACTCTCTTATTTCAGACTCGGCACTTAATTTAGATAGCCTCAGTTTATACCGCCAGGATCGTGCCGAAAGACGCGGCGGTGGATGCCTTCTTTACATAAGAGCCTCACTTGCACAGTCGCCTTCTGACCTGCACATTTCCTCCTTCTCTGGAAACTTACGTTTCGCCTCGGTAATCCTTCAGCAAAATAGGAAAGCTTTGGTCGGATGTGTATATAATCCTCCTCGTTCCTCCGGAAATGAAAGCCAACTCTGTGAACTGTTTGAAAAAATTGCAGAGACTCCTTTCGATGTCGAGATAATCGTAGGCGATTTTAATTTGCCAGAAATTGACTGGCACACACATACTTCTCCTCCTAAATTCCAGAAGCTGCTTGACACCATTCACTTTTCAAACTTATCTCAATTAGTTCACTCTTCGGCCAGAAACGATAGTGTTTTCGACTTAATTTTTACTGATGGCACCTTCCCTTTATCTATGGATTTCTATCATAACCTTTTTGCAAGTGATCATGCATTAATCCATTGTCGCCTTCCAGTTGCCACTTCCGCAAAGCCAAAAGAACAACGTAGTATTTTTGACTTTGCTAATATTAACAAGGCATTAGTTAATAACTTTACATGCACTCTTGATTGGCACAATATTTTTTCAACTAATGACCTAAATTTTTTAACAATTTATTACAATGCGCAACAGAAGGTCTTCTTGACCTTATTCCTCGGAAGATGTTCAAATCGAGTGCTAATTCCACCGCTGTTCCACACTTTCTTAAAAGCAGACTTAAAAAGTTACGGAAGCAGTTTAAAGATCCTTCTGTGAGCTCATTACCAGTTCATCTAAGAATCGTTGAAATAGTTGAACTAGCTTCGAAAATAAGGCTGGCGCGAGATAGGCGTAGAGAGTCTTTAGCCACTAATGACATGAATGCTTCTAAATCAGTTGCTCAGATCTTCCGTCAAAGATAATCAGCTAAGTCTCACCAAGTCATTCGCCTTTTCTTAGTACTAGCGATGCCTTCATTAGAGAGGAGTCAGACAAAGCAGAGATTTTAAATTCGTTCTTTGCCAAACATTTCACCATTGAAACCGACCCAATCCCTCTGATTCCTCCGTTGTCTGATGCTTCTCTTAGCATCATTAATTTTTCTCCTGAAGCCATTCAAAAACTGATAAGCCATCTTCCTAACTCTCACACAGTAGTGTAGCAGCCGCTCCAGCCCCCCTTTTCTCCGGCTCCTTTTTGTCGGTCGATGGCTGCGACAAGCACTGACAGGCCGCTGACACACGACCACCCACACCGGCTAGAACTGGGGCCCCTCCTGTCCAGATGCAGTGATTCCCGGCTGTCCTCACAAACTAGTATCACCTAACGCGCGTCGAACGCTCTGGCTTGATTCCCGTGAGGTTTTGTGAGTATAATAATAATAATAATAATTATTATTATTATTATTATTATTATTTATTTAGTGCCAGTTTACAGGCATTGTCAAGGGAAGCGATTAAACACAAATCCGACCAGCAGTGAAAAAAAACTCCTGAGGTAAAGAAATAAAAATATAGTTGATAGGGGTTTTCATGGTTTGGAGGGTTCAGGAGAAAAAACTGCTGGTGGTAGATTTTCGACCGTCAAGAAGGGGGGGAGGGGGTGCACGATATCGGAGATTATCAGACACCAATTCCTTTCATAAAGTTGGGGATATTCAAAGTAGAGGCGTTGACTAACAGTTGGCGAGACCGGTCACAGTGTTCATAGACCACAAACGCCATCGCTACGGTGGAGTCGATCAGTGTATTCAGCATCCAAAATTCCTGGGAGCTTTTCTGGATGCAAAAATCGAGTAATAGTTCTCTTAAATAAAGGATAATTTTGCAGAGTTTTCACACTCATGGGTAGTTTATTCCAAATAGCAATTGCATTTAGAGAATAGAACCGGCGATATTTAACAGTATGTGCCAGAGGCAGAAATAAGAAGACCTCACGGTGACTGTTACGTTGTGGGTGGATATGATGTCTTAAAGAGGTGAGTGGGTTAAATGTGTCATTATATAAGAGTTGAAATAGCAAAAAGAGTCCCTTTTGTAATCTACGGAACCATAAAGGATCAGGCCCAAAAGTAGCTGCCCGACCGGGAGTCGAAGACGGGCCGCCTGGGTGAGAGCCAGGAATCCTAACCGCTCTCCATTCCTCCCCTAATTTGTCCAATCACACGACCAACACTCAGCCAGTCACCCCTCCTGCTGACCCAGACACCCACTCCCGCGTAAACAACACACACACCGCGACTGACGCTCTCCGCGAACGGACGCTTTTCTCTGTTGCAAGCAAACAGCCAACTTACGGCAACCCGCTCTGTGTACAGAATAAACTAGTCCTCACAGCTCCCTGACTTCTGTCATTAGACGAAACGAACTTATTGTGCGGGGTTTAAGTTGATCTCACATCCTTGACCGCCACAAATTGGTGACCCCGAATTTCCGAACACTGGAATTCCGCAAACTTTTCGTCCACAACAACAATCTTCAGGCGACCTACAGCGCGATGTCCCAAGACCAGAAGTCAATCATAAACCCAAATTCTACAGGAGCTAATGCACGCTTGGATCGGCTCGAGGAGGTATTAATGCGCCTGAAAGCCCAGCTCACTGCAGTTACCACTAACGGCCCGCGGCGAACACCAAACCGTCGCCCTACATCCTCCGTTTCCCACATCCGCCGTCCACAATCTCCAAGTAGCGTCTGCTGGTATCACCAACAATTTGGAGGAGCAGCTCGACGATGTCTTCAGCCATGCTCTTTCAAGGTATCTCAAACGGCCTCAGGGAGACGATCCCACCCGACAGTAGAGTCCACTACTGCTGGAAGCGTTGCCAATCTTCACATTCGCCGTATGTTTCTCTGAGACCGTATCGCTGGCGCAAAATTCCTTTTCGACTCTGGTGCCGAGGTTAGCGTGGCTCCACCAACTCCGGCCGAACGCAAAACCCGCAGCTCTTTTTGTCTAACAGCTGCCAACTACTCCAGCATCCCCACATTTGGACAGCACTCCATCACACTTGATTTGGGCCTTCGTCGAATTTTCCGATGGGTTTTCATTATAGGCGACGTATCCGTCGCCCTCATAGGCGCCGATTTCCTAGTTCACTTCAATCTACTAGTTGATTTGAGGAATCGCCGGCTCGTCGACAGCATCACCAACCTTCATACCCGTTGTCAATCCGGTGTGAATCCCTGCGTCAATCCTCTCCCTGTTATGCCCATTTCTGACTGTCCTTTCCACTAACTCCTTAGGCAGTTCCCCCCCCCCCTGACCAACCCCTCATTTCGAGAAGTGGACATCAAGCACACAGTCACCCACCATATTTCCACCACCGGACCTCCCAAATCTTGCCGACCACGTCGTCTGGCAACGGACCGTTTGAAGATCGCCAAGGCAGAGATCGAACACATGCTTGAGCTCGGCATCATCCGACAGTCCGACAGCTGCTGGGCATCACCCCTCCATCTTGTTCCAAAGAAGAGCGGCGACTGGCGACCGTGTGGTGACTATCGGGCGTTGAACTCAGCGACGGTCCCCGACCAGTATCCCGTCCCGCACATCCAAGACTTCACTCTTTCGCTGCACTGTAAGCGAATATTCTCCAAGATTGACCTTGTGCGTGCCTACCACCAAATCCCAATCGAGGCCAGTGATGTGCCGAAAACTGCAGTGACCACTCCCTTTGGGTTATTCGAATTCACTCGTATGCCCTTTGGTCTGAGGAATGCCACCTAAACCTTTCAGCGACTCATTGATCAGGTTCTGCAAGGTCGCGACTTCGTCTACGCCTACATTGATGATTTGCTAGTGGCTAGTTCTGACGCTGCTGAACAGGAGATTCATCTTCGATAGCTCTTCGAACGGCTTGACTCCTTCGGCGTTGTAATAAATGCTGATAAATGTGAGTTTGGAGTCCCCAGCCTAATCTTCCTGGGTAACGAAGAGAACTCAGATGGGATAAGGCTCGTCCCAGAAGAAGTTTCGGCCATATCAACGTTCCCCGTCCCGACAACCATCAACCAACCACGCCGCTTCCTGGGGATGGTGAACCACTATCACCGTTTTCTTCCTCATGGTGCCAATATACTGCAGCCACTCAACAGCCTGTAGACTCCCTCCAAAAAGACACTGGGAATGACCGAGTAGGCCCTCAAGTCCTTCAATGACGTCAAGGCCGCACTTGCGAGCGCAACACTATAGCCCACCACCGCGCTGATACCCAACTTCCTCTAATGACAGATACTTCCAGTACTTCCGTTGGTGCGTCACTTCAGCTAACTGTTAGTGGTGTTCTACAGCCTCTGGCTTTCTTCTCGAAGAAGCTCAGCCCAGCAGAGACCCGCTACAGTGTCTTCGGCCGAGAACTCCTCGCCGTCTATCTATCTATCCGGCACTTCCGACATTTCCTCAAGAGTAGCGAATTTGTTGTTCTCACAGATCACAAGACACTCGTTTCTGCACTGAGGGCCTCTTTCGATCGATACTCGCCCCGTGAAATCCGTCATCTTGATTTCATCTCACAGTTTTCCTGCGACATCTAACATGTCCATGGTAAGGAAAATGTGGTTGCTGATGCTCTTTCAAGAATCGAGATGGCTTCCATCACAACAGACGCCATAGACTTCACAGTCATAGCTGAGGCTCAACGATCGGATGGAGAACTCTCCCAAAGTCGCCACGAGGACTCTTATTTACGTCTTCAAGATGTCCCTCTTCCCACTGGCACTGGCACTATAACGTGCGACCTTTCTACTGGACATGAGCGTCCTTTTGTCCCTGCAACTTTACGACGACAAGTGTTCAACGGCCTTCACAATCTATCCCACCCTGGAGTCCGGGCGACAGTGAAACTCATCACTGACCGATTCGTCTGGCCCAACATCAACCGGCATGTACGGCGTTGGACCCGATCCTGTCTGTCATGTCAGCGAGCCAAAACGCATCGGCATACTATTACTCTACCAGGTACTTTCGAAACTCCTGATGCACGCTTCAGTCATGTGCACATTGACCTGGTAGGTCAGCTACCACCATCTAACGGTTCTACCTATACACTGACATGTATTGATCGCTTTACTCGGTGGCCGGTTGCTGCGCCCATTCCGGACATCAGTGTCGAAACCGTTGCAAAAGCTTTCCTGACTCATTGGGTGTCCAATTTGGGAGTTCCTGCGACTGTCACCACTGACCGCGGATCCCAATTCGAGTCCACTCTGTTTCGCGAACTCACATCCATTCTCGGTATCAACGGAATCCGAACAACAGCGTACCACCCTCAAGCAAATGGTCTCGTCGAACGCTTCCATCGACAGCTCAAGACTTTCCTTATGGCCCAGCCCGATCCTTCCGGATGGTCTGATCACCTTCTTCCGGTGCTGTTGTCCCTCCGTTCCACTCTCAAGGCCGACATCGGTTGCACTGCGGCTGATCTTGTCTACGGAACCTCCCTAAGACTGCCCGGTGTGTTAGTGTCTCCCTCAAGCATGCTAAAGTTTTTCGAACGTTACAGTTATGTGGAGCAGCTGCGTAGCGTCATGCGCTTTCTCCGCGAAACGCCCCCTCGGGCGTCACCGGCCAATTCCTTCATCCCACCCGACCTGGATAAGTGCGATTTCGTCTGAGTTCGGCATGACGCTGTCCGACGACCACTCCAACCACTCTATGACGGGCCGTATAAAGTCCTTCGTCGATCTGGTAAAGATGTTGTCGTCGACAGCAACGGCAAGACCGACACAGTCAGCATTGATCGCGTCAAGCCGGCCTACATCGGCGACAGTGACCATCCCTCGCCCCAACACTGTACTCCGCCGCAAACAGTGATGCCTCCACCTACTGGCGACAGTACCCCTCCGGTTCGCCGCACACGATCAGGTCGTCACGTCCACTGGCCCGACAGGCTTGTGGCTGTCTAGCATATTGACGCCTTCACTTTGTTTGGTGTCTGGAGGGGAGTTGTAGCAGCCGCTCCAGCCCCCTTTTTCTCCGGCTCCGTTTTGTCGGTCGGTGGCCGCGACAAGCACTGACAGGCCGCTGACACACGACCACCCGCACCGGCTAGAACTGGGGCCCTCCCTGTCCAGCTGCAGTGACTCCCAGCTGCCCTCACAAACTAGTATCACCTAACGCGCGTCGAACGCTCTGGCTTGATTCCCGTGAGGCTTTGTGAGTATGCGCCCTCCATTCCTCCCCTAATTTGTCCAATCACACGACCAACACTCAGCCAGTCACCCCTCCTGCTGACCCAGACCCCCACTCCCGCGTAAACAACACACACACCGCGACTGACGCTCTCCGAGAACGGACGCTTTTCTCTGTTGCAAGCAAACAGCCAACTTACGGCAACCTGCTCTCTGTACAAAATAAACTAGTCCTCACAGCTCCCTGACTTCTGTCATTAGACGAAACGAACTTATTGTGCGTGGTTTAAGTTGATCTCACATCCTTGACGGCCACAGTATGTACGGACAATATCCCAAACTCTTTTATAAAAGAGCCAAGAGAGTTTCCTACTCTGCGTAGCAAAATCTATCAGTAATTCCCGTAAATGGCTTCTTCCCTGACTATTGTAAAACTTCTATTATTAAGTCAGTTTAAGTCAGTTTATTAAGGGAATGAGGCTTTCGCCCTTGAGCTCCCTATTCATATCGATAAACAGAAATAAAGTCATCAATTACATCAGCAAAAGCGAAAAGTTTAAAAGTTAGCGGTAAGTGTGAGCCAGGCGCAAACTGCCGCCGCTAAAACAATCATCATTATATGTACAGTAGGTTCTCAAAAAATGGGCATTTAGTCTGCACTTAAAGAATTTGACACTTTCGGAAAGAACGACGGCATCAGGGAGTCCATTCCATGCCCCGATGACCCTGTGAGAGAAGGCGTTCCTTCGGACGTCCGAATGAATCCGCTTCCTTTGCAGTTTGAAGGGATGACCACGCAGACTGTCAGTCCCGGCCAATTCATAGAATTCATTAAAGTCTAGGGCACACTCACGACCTCTGACAATCCTGTAGGTTTGAATGAGATCGCCGCGCAGTTGCCTGTAATTTAGGGGAAACAGATTTAGTTTGGCCAGCCTGGTTTCGTATGGCAAATAATGAAGATTCTTGACCATTTTCGCAACCATCGCCTTTACTCATTCCAGTCGTTGATGAGCTTTCTTCAACCACGGTCGCCAGGCCTGGACTGCGTACTCTAAGTGGGACCGGACGAATGCCTCATAGGTTTTTCCGAACAGCTCCTTGTCGATCTGCACAAATCCTCGCCTCAGCGCAAATAACATCCTTATCGCACTTTTGGCTGCCGTTTGACACTGTGATGATGGTTTCAGCGAGGAGGTCATTAAGGACGCCCAGGTCTTTCTGTTCCTCAACATTTGAAAGGGGCTGACCACCAAGGACGTATTGAAAGGGATCGTCCTCCTTTGTGGTCTTTTTGGTGCGGAGTCTCAGGACCACACATTTGTCCACATTAAAATTAAGGAGCCAGCGAGCTGACCAACCGTTCAGGCGGTTGAGACAGTCCTGAAGCGCGTACCTGTCTTCGTCAGATCTGATGGGTCTCCGCAGCTTAACATCGTCAGCAAACATGATGGCGCTGCATCCCAGGTCGTCGACGCAGTCGTTAATGTAAACCAGGAATAGCAACGGCCTTAAGACGGAGCCCTGGGGTACACCACTTAGAACGGGAGTAGGAGTTGACCTTGAGGCCTCAAAACACACGGTTTGCGATCTCCCGGTAAGAAAATCTTTTATCCATGTCAGCAGCCTTCCTCTTATCCCAATTTCAAAAAGTTTGTAGATTAGGCGTTTGTGTGGGACGCTGTCGAACGCCTTCTTAAAGTCTGTGTAGATGACATCGACCCTACCATCCTCGTCCAGTGCGCGAGTCCATTGCTGCGTCGAGAGCAATAAACTGGAAAGGCAGGAGCGGTTCTATCTGAAGCCGTGCTGCAGGTCTGAGAGTAAATGTCCCTGCTCCAGGAACTTCATTGTTGCTTTCTTAACTATGGCCTCCATTATTTTACAGCAGATACAGGTTAGACTAACGGGCCGGCAATTGTCAGCATTAGTGCGAGCCCCGCCCTTGTATATCGGAAAGATATTTGCTGTCTTCCATTCCGATGGCAGGCTCCCTAATTCGAATGACGAGCGGAAGATGTGCGCCAGTGGTTTGGAGAGTTCATTCGCCA